GTGTGCGCGTGTGTGTGGTGTGTGTGTGTGTATGGCTGTTTCATCATCAGGACAGTTTTTCTCTTCTTTACTTTTACAGGCAAGCAGGCTAACCAGATCAGTCCGGTTCTGTTTCTAATCATATCAGGAATAATCAATAATGATTAAATGGATCATTTTCATCTTAGGCTTTATAAAAATAAAAAAATCATTCCGGGATATTCACATGCTCAGAGTCACAAGACAGCGCTGTTTTCCCATGGCGTTTGCATACAATTTCAAGGATACAGGAGATGATGATGAGGATGAAATAAAGAAACAGGATCACAGGGGGCGTGGCCAAGGTCAGGTGACTCTACACAAAGGCAGGGCAAAGGTCAACTCTCCTCCAAACATGCATCTGGGCTCCTTCATTGCGGTTCATGCTGGTGATCTCCACGGTAACCAGATTACCAGTCAGCTCATGTGGTGGTAGCAGGTCATCGTTGCTATTGTTTCCTGTTACCGTGGAGATGGACATGAGGCATGATGGATAAAATGGGGATTGGCTCAGTGGGCGGGTCCAAAGATTGAGGTACTGGCCAGTAGGAATTGTCAAAAGCAGGTGCTGTTCCTGTCTCTGTATCCTGCTGACACCAGGGGGCGGGGCTTCTCTCTGCAGGCCAACCATAGAAGCCCTTATTAGTAGCCAGTAAAAAAAAGGAGAATGTCCTTACTGCTGGCCAATCAGAGAGAGAGCCTGCCTGCTACTTCCTGCCCACTGAGCCGACTGCCAATCAGAACCTGGGTCAGTTTCTGTTGGCTCGGTTTGATCCAGCGACCCGGCCCAATCTCTTGTTGCCATACTGGCCTGGTCCTCCTCCACTCGGGCTCCACCGTGGCTGCTGATTGGCTAATCTCTGAGAAGCTGGCTGCTGATTTGCTCTCAGACAGAGGCTGCTGGTTGTCCATTGGCATGAGGAACGAAAACGCCACTCTTGGAGCAGCAGTAGAACTCCCAGCAGGCTTTGCATGTTGGGAGGCTTTGCCTCGGTCTGTATTGCTCTTCCTCTCACCATCACCATCTTCAGCCTCCTCCAGCAGCAGGGCATCCCAGGATGAAGATCGGTTTCTGGGTAAGCTCATGCTCCTCCTCGGCTGCTCGCCCTGGCAGTCCTGCTTCTTCTGCCTGATGGTCTGACTTCTTTCCTTCTCCTCTTGTTCTCTCCTTCTCCTCCTCTCTTCCTTTACTTGCCATCTCCCCTCAGCCTCCTTCTCCTTCCTCCTCTCCTCCTTCTCCCGTGCTTCCACATCCACCAGGTCGAGGTCCAGATAAGGTGGCCCATCTTCTTTTCCTCTGGTCCTTGGTTTGGTTTCCACCTTGCTCTCCTTCCTCCTCCACTCTCCCCCTCCTCCTCCACTTGCATGGCCTCCCCTTCTTGAATGCCAGTCATGGGAGGTGGTTGTCATGGTTATCAAATCCTTCTCTTCTTTGCGTGAGGAGAAGGAGGAGGAGAGGAAACCTTCCTCAGGGCCTGAGGGACCAAAGAGAAAAAGTTAATTCTGCAGATGTTTCAGCTGCTAGCATGACGCTAATCATTTAGTGATTAGCGTCATGCTAGCAGCTAGACCGTGAGCCAACTTCCATCCAATCAGAAAGTTTTAACTCCAATAGTCAGATTGGGGCCTGATCACATGACAAGCACTCGTCACATAAACATGAAAACGTGGTGAAGATGATGATGAAGATTCGGATAAAGGTGGAAACAGGAAGTAATGAAGGACAAGTGGGAAAGATGGAAACGTAAAGAGGAAACAGAGTTACCAACCGCAAGTTTTCGGTTCGTCCAATCACATAGAAGCAGGGCTCGCCCTGTTTGGAATTGGTCATACAGAGAGAGAGGCTAGACAGCTCCACTGAGGAGGAGGAGCAGGGACGAGGGGAGAAGGAGGGGCAGTAGGAGCAGGAAGAAGAAGGGAAGGAGAAGCAGAGGAGGAGTAAGACAAAGAAAAAGACAGTAAGACAGCAGGAGGCGCTCTGAGCTTGTTTAACTGAAACCCTGATTCAGTCCAAAAGGGTTCGAATGAAGACAACTGGTCTTTGTTTTCCTGAAGTTTTGCTTCTCATCCGAGGAGCTTTGTCAGTTCTCACTGGAATACGGGAGGGTCAAGCTTATAAGCTGTCTGTTGTTAACGAGCAGAAACTACTTATGAATAACCCTCAATTTTCCGGCAGCTACGTTGCAACTCTGAATCTTTTTCTCAAACAGATTCAGTTTAGGTCACACACCCCTGCATCTAACCAATACAACAACTCCCACACAACAAAGGCTAACGACTCATGAGGGGGTAGGGAGGAGGGGTATTCATAGGTAGTTTCTGCTCATTACGCCTGACCCTCCCGTAATCCAGTCAGAATTGACAAAACTCCTCGGTTGAGAATCAAAATGTCTTTAAGAAACCAAAGAAGTCCGGTTGCCTTCACTGGAACCCGTTTGGATTTCCATGACCTGGATGACTGAGAACCTTCACCACCTGGCAGCAGGTGGAGCTGTACATTTAGCCTGGTTTCATTCTGTTATATTCGTCTTCAACACTGGCCCAATCCCAATACTCCCACTAGGAATTTTGAGATGGAGGCGGAGAAAAGGCTCAAGTGCCTTTTTCTGATAACATGTATTTTCAAATGAAAGAAACAAACTTTAAGATGATTAGTGATATTTATTCATGCTCTGGATGATTTTGACTTGATCTGAAAGTTGTTAATAAAGATTATTTTATTTTTTAAAGTAGTGCACTGACCAGCATCCCGGCATGCGTTGCGGTTGATGACGCAATGCTCCGTGTCCCAATTCAGCAATTATTTGCACACTTGGTGTAGTTACAGACACAAAGGTCACGTTTTCATCCATTACACACTGTGGGGCGACGGTGGCACAGGAGTTAAGAGCTCGCCCCGTAATCGGAAGGTTGCAGGTTCGAGCCCCGCTCAGTCTGTCGCTGTCGCAGCCTCGCCTCTGTCAGTGCGCCTCAGGGCAGCTGTGGCTACATCGTAGCTCATCCCCACGAGCGTGTGAATGTGTGTGTGAATGGGTGAATGACTGATTGTGTTGTAAAGCGCCTTGGGGGGTTCCAGAACTCTAGAAGGCGCTATGTCAAATACAGGCCATTACTTGTGCACTACGTACTCGAAGCCTCATTGCACACTTCCTCCAAGTGCACTTCACAGAAGACCGTGGGTTGCAGTGCGAGTATTGCGATTGGGCCCTAAAGTCTGCCTCCAGGTGAGAGGCGGGGCTACACCTGGACAGGTCTCCAGTGCATCACTGGGAAAAAGAAACGAATCAGAAAGACTCAGCTGGGTTTTGAACCTTCAACCTCCTTGCTACCAGCTGCACCACTGTGCAGCCTGCTGTCAACCACTGACCTAATATGAACCTGCAGAATAGTTTAGGTCAGCAGTCACTCAGTTTTTTCTGGGTAAATAAAATCTAGTTACAGGAGCTCGTCTCACCATAATCCGGTACATATCCGTTTCCCTTCTTCAGGATTAGGTGGATCCGATTTCCTCCTCTTCGGATCTGCTCCACAGCCTGACTGTGAGTCATTCCTGCTGTACTCTCACCGTTGATCTCCACCAGCTGGTCAGACACCTACAGCACATTAACACACCTGATTATCAGCTGTGTTATCTCCAGGTGAGCTCAGATAACAGAAAATCAGCCAGGTGTGTCTGGTCCCAGCAGCGCCCCCTGCTGTTTCCACGCATCCATTCCTATTAAAAAGCTGTTCTGGTACCTGGATTTTGTTGCTGCGCTGCGCCGGGCCACGTTCCATCAGGCCTAGAACATACAGACCCATGTTGTATTCACTGCCCCCCCGCAGAGAGAAACCAAAACCTGTCGGGCCACGTTCCAAATCCACGCTGTAGAACCTGGACTCGTCCTGCAGCACACAGACACAAAAGACAGCTGGTACCACATCAATGGAGCGTTTGTCTCTTGGTTTGTTCTGTAAACAGCTGATTTAGTAAAACTCCAGGCTAAACCAGATGCGTTTAGGAACATCTACAATCAGGTGTGTCTGTAGCCAGGAGTATCTGTAACCAGGTGTGTCGGTAAATTGGAACATGAGTAGCCAGGTGTGTTTGTAACCTGGAACATCTGTAACTAGATGCATCTTTAACCAGGTCTGTCTGTAAACAAGTGTGTCTGTGAATAGGAACATCTGTAACTAGATGCATCTTTGACTAGGTGTGTTTGTGACTAGAAACATCAGTAATCAGGTGTCTGTAACTAGAAACATCTGTAATCAGGTGTGTTTGTAACCAGGGACATCTGTAATCAGGTGCGTCTGTAACCAAGTGTCTGTAAATAGGAACATCTGTAACTAGATGCATCTTTGACTAGGTATGTCTGTGACTAGAAACATCAGTAATCAGGTGCATCTGTAACTAGAAACATCTGTAATCAGGTGTGTCTGTAACCAAGTGTCTGTAACTAGAAACATCTGTAATCAGGTGCGTCTGTAACTAGAAACATCTGTAATCAGGTGCGTCTGTAACCAAGTGTCTGTAACTAGAAACATCTGTAATCAGGTGCGTCTGTAACTAGAAACATCTGTAATCAGGTGCGTCTGTAACTAGAAACATCTGTAATCAGGTGTGTCTGTAACCAAGTGCCTGTAACTAGAAACATCTGTAATCAGGTGTGTCTGTAACCAAGTGTCTGTAACTAGAAACATCTGTAATCAGGTGCGTCTGTAACTAGAAACATCTGTAATCAGGTGTGTCTGTAACCAAGTGTCTGTAACTAGAAACATCTGTAATCAGGTGCGTCTGTAACTAGAAACATCTGTAATCAGGTGTGTCTGTGACTAGAAACATCTGTAATCAGGTGTGTCTGTGACTAGAAACATCAGTAATCAGGTGCATCTGTAACTAGAAACATCTGTAATCAGGTGTGTCTGTAACCAAGTGTCTGTAACTAGAAACATCTGTAATCAGGTGCGTCTGTAACTAGAAACATCTGTAATCAGGTGTGTCTGTAACCAAGTGTCTGTAACTAGAAACATCTGTAATCAGGTGCGTCTGTAACTAGAAACATCTGTAATCAGGTGTGTCTGTGACTAGAAACATCTGTAATCAGGTGTGTCTGTGACTAGAAACATCTGTAATCAGGTGTGTCTGTAACCAAGTGTCTGTAACTAGAAACATCTGTAATCAGGTGTGTCTGTAACTAGAAACATCTGTAATCAGGTGCGTCTGTAACTAGAAACATCTGTAATCAGGTGTGTCTGTAACCAAGTGTCTGTAACTAGAAACATCTGTAATCAGGTGCGTCTGTAACTAGAAACATCTGTAATCAGGTGTGTCTGTGACTAGAAACATCTGTAATCAGGTGTGTCTGTAACCAAGTGTCTGTAACTAGAAACATCTGTAATCAGGTGTGTCTGTAACTAGAAACATCTGTAATCAGGTGTGTCTGTAACCAAGTGTCTGTAACTAGAAACATCTGTAATCAGGTGCGTCTGTAACTAGAAACATCTGTAATCAGGTGTGTCTGTAACCAAGTGTCTGTAACTAGAAACATCTGTAATCAGGTGCGTCTGTAACTAGAAACATCTGTAATCAGGTGTGTCTGTGACTAGAAACATCTGTAATCAGGTGTGTCTGTAACCAAGTGTCTGTAACTAGAAACATCTGTAATCAGGTGTGTCTGTAACCAAGTGTCTGTAACTAGAAACATCTGTAATCAGGTGTGTCTGTAACCAAGTGTCTGTAACTAGAAACATCTGTAATCAGGTGCGTCTGTAACTAGAAACATCTGTAATCAGGTGTGTCTGTGACTAGAAACATCTGTAATCAGGTGTGTCTGTAACCAAGTGTCTGTAACTAGAAACATCTGTAATCAGGTGTGTCTGTAACCAAGTGTCTGTAACTAGAAACATCTGTAATCAGGTGTGTCTGTAACCAAGTGTCTGTAACTAGAAACATCTGTAATCAGGTGTGTCTGTAACCAAGTGTCTGTAACTAGAAACATCTGTAATCAGGTGTGTCTGTAACCAAGTGTCTGTAACTAGAAACATCTGTAATCAGGTGTGTCTGTAACTAGAAACATCTGTAATCAGGTGTGTCTGTAACTAGAAACATCTGTAATCAGGTGTGTCTGTAACCAAGTGTCTGTAACTAGAAACATCTGTAATCAGGTGTGTCTGTAACCAAGTGTCTGTAACTAGAAACATCTGTAATCAGGTGCGTCTGTAACTAGAAACATCTGTAATCAGGTGTGTCTGTAACTAGAAACATCTGTAATCAGGTGCGTCTGTAACTAGAAACATCTGTAATCAGGTGTGTCTGTAACCAAGTGTCTGTAACTAGAAACATCTGTAATCAGGTGTGTCTGTAACCAAGTGTCTGTAACTAGAAACATCAGTAATCAGGTGCGTCTGTAACTAGAAACATCTGTAATCAGGTGTGTCTGTAACCAAGTGTCTGTAACTAGAAACATCTGTAATCAGGTGCGTCTGTAACCAAGTGTCTGTAAATAGGAACATCTGTAACTAGATGCATCTGTTGCATTCAGCTGCAGTCTGACTCCATCCAGCTGAGAGGCGGGGCTTCACCTGGACAGGTCCATTACAATGGCATACAGGGGGAAAAACACACTCACACCTAGGGACACCTGTTCTTTAAATGACCTGTAGGTTAAAGTCTGCCTGTGAAACAATGGATGAAAACGTGACCTTTGACCTCCTCTTGGATCCTTTGATACAATCGACATCAGGGTCTGGTCCTTCTGGGATGGAGGAGGACTCTGAGAAGACAAGAACAGACATTATGTTCTGATTGTGTGTGTGTGTGTGTGTGTGTGTGTGTGTGTGTGTGTGTGTGTGTGTGTGTGTGTGTGTGTGTGTGTGTGTGTGTCTATGCTCCCTACGTTGGCGGGGGCTGATGCTCAGCTTTAGCGCGTTCCCGGCCCTCCTGAGGATCTGGGACAGGTCCCGGTGCTGCAGACTGCCTACCGTCCGTCCATCCACCGCCTCCAGCTGGTCTCCAGGCTGAATCTGACCACTACGAGCTGCTGGGCTGCCGCGCCGTACGGTCACGAAACGATGGGACATCAGGGACGGGGCTGCAGAGATGGGGTGAACGTCAGCAACAATGCCCATGAGACGTTTTAACGGATCGGAATGGTCTCCGGTTCTTCCCGCTCTATCAGCTGAATTGATACTTGGCCTCTTCAGCCTCCCTGGCTGAACCTGCAGCTGGGGAACTAACAGGAGGTCCGAGATCTGATCTGAAGCTGATTTAGATTTAAACAACATTTAGTTCACAGTGACAAGTTTAAGGTTAAAGAGCACAGACACAGACCAGAACCCTGAGGAACATCGGGTTCTGACCAGATCCATTAGAAGCTGTTCCAGACAGGTAGAACAAGGGGTCTTCGCCTTTGTCTTCATCATCATGTGACACATGAGCTTTACATGGAGCTCCAGATATGGCGTGTATTTGTGTAGCACATTTTTAGGGTTCTACAACCACCCAAGGGGCTTCACAACACAATAAGTCATTCACACGCTGGTGGTGATGAGCTACGGTGTAGCCACAGCTGCCCTGGGGCACACTGACAGAGGCGAGGCTGGTGAGCACTGGCGCCACCGGTCCCTCCGACCACCACCAGCAGGCACGGAGGGTTAAGTGTCTTGCCCAAGGACACAACGGCAGAACTCCCTGGTCTGAGCCGGGATCGAACCCGCAACCATCCGATTACTGAGCAACCAGCTCTACCTCCTGAGCTGCTGCTGTCCCAGGTCAATCAACTGACCCTAAATCAGTTTATGAAAATAAGCAGAAATGTGTGTGTGTGTGTGTGTGTGTGTGTGTGTGTGTGTGTGTGTGTGTGTGTGTGTGTGTGTGTGTGTGTGTGTGTGTGTGTGTGTGTGTGTCCTAACTCTGGTGGAGGACTTTAAGTATCTGATAATCAGTTACAGTCGTGGGTTTTGAGTAACGACTCAGGGAAGGAGATCAGAGTGCTGGTCTCAGCCAGAGTGGGTGGAGCTTCGACATCCAGGAGAACCCCCCCACCCCCACCCCCCACCTGCTCTTTGTGGAGTCGGTGTTCCTGCTGTAGTCCGCTCTCTCCGTGATTCCTGTTTGTGTCTCGGGCTGCTTCAGTTTGTTGTTTCAGTCTCTGAAGATCAGAAGCAGCTTCCTCGCATTCAGTCCGACAACAATCCTCCTGCATCACATGCGCTCTGCTCAGGTTCTGTCTGGTTTCCTCTAGCTGCAACGTTCTACACGCACACTTACACGTCCAATAATGTGAAACCATTTCAGACATTCCTGAGAGTTGATAAAGTCTGAGGAGGAGGAGGACCTGTTTTAGCTCACAGGGCGCAGACAGGGGGAAGGAGGAGTGCAGGTTATGGGTAGAAACATGAAGAAATCAGTATTTCACAATAAAAGCATCCAAACAATAAAAATGCACAACCCAGGAATCAAACCCATAACCTTCTTGTATTTTCACTATAAAAGGTCCATTTTGATGTTCATAAAACTTATCTGGATGTCTTCTCATCCGGCCAACAGAGGACAGTCCTTTGTCCCCAGTAAAGGCTGGCGAGGACATGAGACAGGAGTCTCTCTGTCCAGAACAGACGATGGAAGAAGCGGACGCTTCTACTGGACTTACATTTGGAGTCTTTGAGCGTCTTCAGAACTGACTGCAGCTGCTCCAACATGTTGGACAGTTTGATCAGCAAGAATGGGCGGTTAGCAAAGACATGTCCCTCTTGTCCCTCTGGTTGTCCAGCTGAAACCCTGTTCTGTCCACCTGCTGATGTCCGTCCTGTCTCAGGTCTCCCACAGGAAAGATTGTGTATCCAGGAGCTGAAAAGTGGGCGTGACTTAAAGCTGCAGGGGGGTGGGCGGGTGTGTGTGTGTGTGTGTGTGTGGGGGGGGGGTCTCGGGCACTTACAGTGGAGATGGCTGCTATACCTCTGGAGGGGTGAGACAGGTAAGGTGATTTTATTACATGTTAATAATAATAGCTGATAGTTTACTGATCTCCTTGGGGAACCAGTTTCTCCAACACCCCCCACTTCCCAGCACACACACACACACACACACACACACACACACACACACACACACACACACACACACACACACACACACACACACACACACACACACACACACACCAACCGTCTCTCACCTCCACTCATTTCCTGAGAAGCAATGACAAATCCAAAGCCTTCTCCTGGTCGCCTCCTTAGCTCCACCTCCATCGTCTTAGCTCCACCCCCTCGTCCATCCTTGGCTATGGTTCCTGGAGCTCTGCCCCCTCTGATTGGACCAGTGCTTTCCTCCACTCCCAGCAGGTCTCGCGGCTCTAAGGTCAGAGTCACAGGGACTGAGTCCAGGAAGCTGGTGCTCTGGATGAGGGTGGAGGCGGGGGGTCCGTTGGGGGTCTGGGCAGCAGGACAACCTGGGGATCAGACAGGAGAATACAGCATGACTCAGATTCAGAGAACTTGGAGGAGAATGCACCCATGCCCTACTGAAGCTGCCTTGCTCAGAGGCATGGTGCTGTGTGAGATACCTTGGTGGGTCTCTGGAGAGAGTGCGGGTCCTTCAGGGGGGCTCTCCAAGGCCAAGCCAGCCAGGCTGAGCTGGGGGACGCCCCCGAGCGGAGGATCAGTGGAAGGGGACGGTAGGTCGGTAGAGGTTGAGGAAGACGAGGGCGTGTCCATGACATGTGGCGAGGGGAGGGGCTTGTAGAGGGTAGGGGTTACAGCTGGACCAGAGGCTGGACCTGTAGGAGAACCAATAGAAGATTTGGTTCCTCAGCCCAGAATCCACCAGCTGATCTAGACATCGCTTCACAGCTTCATGTGGGGACAATGAACACCTGACCCAAAGTCTAGCAGGTCTGGAAAATGCAATAGCTGAAAACATCTTTCATGCTTTTAACAACATTTTAACATAGTAAATATATTATTCAACAATATTTAACAATAATTTAACAATGTAAATATGTTGTGGAGATAAAATAAAAAACAAAATGAATGAATAAAGTGGTTCGCATTTGCCTACAAATCTCAGCCAATAACACATTTCGGACCAAAAGCAACCATTGGATCATTTGGTTGACGGTCTTGCCAATCTGCTGAACTTCCCTGGGTCCTCCACTCATTACACACTCACTTAACAGAACACCTCTGGTGTGAGAGGTTCTCCGCTCAATAACATAAGAGCAGAAACCGCTCCAACTTTAGCACAAACTACCAGATTACCACCATTTGAAGTCACGGACAACAAAAGACGTTTGGACCAGGAAGACGGCGTCTGGTGTTTAGTGCTTTTCCGTTTCCTCCGGCATCGCAAGTTTCCGGTTCCAACAGGAACGTCCCAGGGAAGATACCCGAGGGGAGGGGTGAGCGTTCCGTGTTTGCAGGTTTGCTATAGCAGCTTTAAGGAGAACCATTTGGACTGCTTCAGATTGGACTTGAAATGTGTCCATTTGGTCAAAACTGATGCGTGGGGACACTTTGTGACACAACCAATCAGCCAGCCTGAGCAGGACACCATGTTGGATCATACCTCCTCTGTAGACCAGCAGAACCACTTCACCCTGCTTTGTGTGTTCCTGCAGGACTCTCTGGACCTGAGGAAAGAAGGACAGCGTTATCTCGAACAGGGACATCTTTAGGAGCTGCTGCTCCATCACACCCAAAGGATCGGTCCAGATCTGGTCTGAACATTTTAACGTTTACAAAGGACGGTAGACCTGAGACCTACAGACCAGGTCTGGTTTATCAAAGACTTAAAGGGACTTTACGGAGTTTTGAATTTTTATGCTCGCGATTGCCCCCTCAGGCCAAAAGCATAACGGCAGCTTCGATAGCAGGCTCGTGCACGAGGCGCGCATGCTGTACGTGCACACTCCTTAACGAAAATAACAGCTGAGAAAGTCCCGTGTGTGTGTGTGTGTGTGTGTGTCCCGGAGGACAGAGGACAGGAGAACGTGCCGCTAATTAATTAAATAATTTGGTTCTGTAGCTTTCTCTTCAGCACAGCGACAAAGGTTTATGATGGGTCAGTCCTCCTGCATGCTCAGATCATTCCCTTCCCTTGCTTGAAAAATTGTTCCAAAATGAAAGTTGAACCCACATCTTTTTTATCTGTGAATTCAATGCCGTTCGGCGAGTCTCAAATAAAAATTTGGGCATCTTACTGTAAAAAAATGTACCATTAATGTAAAAAATAAACTCTAAATAAACTATGTTCACACCTGGAGTCAAACCCAGGTCTTCTGCATGGGAGTCCAACTTCTTACTAGGTGAGCTAAAGCACCAGTGACGTCCTCTTGTATCTATAACATTTATATCCTTGATGACAGCTGAAACAACGTTCAAAGAACGGTTCGGAGTGAAAATGGCTATTTTGTTGCTAATTTGCAGGAAATATCTAGAAGAAAGTTCTACAGAAAGTAGCTAAGGGTCCTCAGAAATGTAGCTAGCTTTGTCACTAGGCGTTAGGAACAGCGACAAAGTGGCACTACCTCTCTCTCTGCTGCTAAAGCTACGGATAGCAAATGCTACGGGCGATGCCTGAGCGTGAACGCGCATGAAGCAGCCTGCTCGACCCGAGCATCTCTCTTTTTCTGTGATTTTACAGAAAAACAGGCAATCACAGTAAAAATGCCAGGGCTCATTCTACAGGACCAGGGCATTGCAGGAGAATGTATGAAGAAGACATTTATTATTTCTATACATGTTTTGGCTGTCAGACTTCCATAATGTCCCTTTAAAGTCCCCAACCAAAACTTTTGGCCAATTAAAGACCGCTGACAGGCTGACTACATGCCTAGACCACTACTTGCTGACTCGTCATTGGTTAGGTGATGTAAACACACCTGTGTGAAGTTTAGGTTCTGGACGTCCGCTCCGTTGATCTTCATGATGGCATCTCCTGCTTGCAGCGACGGACACCGTCTGCAATCCCAAACCCGCCTCACCACCGCCTGCTGGCTTCCCTCTCCTCCTGCCGTCACACTAAAGCCCAGCCCACTGCCTTCACTGCGCCCAATGGCCACCGGCACCAGCTCCCCCCCAGGCCCTGACCCAGCTGACGCCGTCCCAAGGGGCAGAACTAGTCCTGGGTTTCCTCTGGAGCTTGAAGGAGGCACTTGGTGGTTGGCCGGACACCCGTTGAAGCCACAAGTAGGGGTGTCTCTGGGTGGGGTGATGGCAAGGGTGGTCTGGGGCATCACTGGGCGCTGTGATGCAACAGGGGGAGGTGTGGAGGTGGAGTTCTGGTGAAGGCCAGACTCAGACTGAGAGAGAAGCAGTTTTGAGATCTTGTGTGAGGACGAGGTAATGGGGAGTGTCGACGTGGACAGGTCGCTCTCTGAAGACTTTGAGCTCTGATGAAGAAGGATGGAGGAGGAGGAGAGGGCGGGAAGGGTGCTGCTGTTGTAGCGAATCAGAGAAGACCTACGAAGAGAGCAAGAGTAAAGCCAGTAGAACTGCTAAGGCTAACACTGCTAATTGCAGCTAACACGACTAATGCCACTTACACTGATAATGCTAACACCACTGAAATTGCTAAATCTGATAAATGGAAACACTAACCTACGAGTTCCTGCGCTGGACGGCCCCTCCTCAGAGTCACTGTGATTGGGCAGCGCCCCGTCTGCGGCAGGAGCCGAGTCAGAGGATGTCGGGGTCAGAGGGCTGGTCAAACCGTTTGTCATTGGCTGAGCAGAGTAAGAGGGTGGAGTTTGTGCGGGAGCTGCATTGAGTGTGACGAAAACAGAAACAATTGGCTTGATGATAATTATAATAATATGAATGGATTTAATTGTTATGAGCTACCATGGAGCCACAGCTTCAGACTGACAGAGGCTAGGCAGCCATTTTGTGCCACTGGCCCTTCTGTCTTGCCCAAGGACGCAACAGCAGAGATCTGTGGAAGGAGCACGGTTTGACCTTGCGACCTTCCGATTGCTGGATAACCCGCTCTACCTGCTGAGCGGCTGCTGCCCCGGTGACGGGTGGAGTAAACTGGCCCCCTGCTGAGGGGCTGCTAGAACATTAAACACCTTCATTTTCTCAAAGCTACGTCTGTCAGCGTGGTTTGGACGGCCCAGAACCTTATGCCGTGCATCCATTGGGTGTTGACTGGTTTTCCTGATGTGTGAGCCTTTGTTGACCTCTGACCTTGTCTGTTGTGTGTGCTGTGAGGGAGGGTGTTGATGGCTCTGACCTGATGCGCTGCCGTGGGCGTTGAGCGTGTGGCTGAAGGTGAGCTGAGTCAGGCCTCGGCTGACGCTGGAGGACTCGCTGGGCGTCGACGGCTGCTGGAGGTCAGATTAAATCGTGAGAACACATCTGGACAGAACATCACCAGAACCAAACATCTGCTTGTCTGTTCTGTGTTCACGCAGTGACTTTCTAGTAATGTTGGAATGCATCGTTTGACTGGTGGCAGACTCTGCCTTCGTGAAATGTTTTTTAGTGACTGAACCATGTTTTAGTCTCAGACTGGTGCCTCTTCTTGGACCCTGAACCTCTGGTTCTGTGACTGGTGTTGCTGGTGTTACAGTGGACCAGACGTACCGTCTCCAGACTCTGTTTAGGACAGCCGTCCGGATTGTAGAGCATCGGGTATCCTCTCCTCAGAACCACGTCCACACTCTGACCCATCGGCACCGACTTCAGCATCTCCACCACCTCCTTGTGGGAGCGGCCCAGCACACAGCTGTCGTTGATGTAGACCAGGATGTCCGCTGAAGACCGTGAGACACCAGGAGACACAGACCAGTTAGAACCTTCCAAACAGCCCAGTTGGTTCTGACGGGCAGGCGCCTCAGTAGTTCTGTGAGGGATGACACCCAGACGGAACGAGGGGAGCGGTCTACATCCAGGTGAGTCACACCTGAAGAGGGCGGAGCAACATTCTGTTGGTCTCATTTGAAAACAGCAAATTGAAGTTTGAGTGGGGGCTTCTCAGGTGGGTCCATGACCCAGTTCTGCTGCTGATCCTCGGAGCGCGTGAGCCTCAGAACACAGAGGTGTTTGTGTTTCAGGCAGATTAAAGCGCCGGGATTAACCGGAGATCATAAGATCAGAGAGAAGAATAAATCCTCCCGGGTCACCTGACTCACAGCAACCGGAACAATAAAACGTGACCCGGGCCCAAGACCGCGCTCTAATCCGGGTTCTGACAGGAATAACATGTTTGGTCAGTTTGAGAGCATTAGTTGTTTTCATGTTAAGATCTTGTACCGCTTCTCTCTCAAGCCTGATTACACTCAAACGTCTTTTCTTACGTCCAAATGTGTTTTGCCTGCTTTCAAATGGGCTCTGCTGCTCTTGAGGAAACAAGCGCACCCAACAGAAGGTGACACGGTCAGCATCTTATCTGGCTTCCTTTTGGCAGGAACAGGGGCGGCGTTAGGCCCGGCTACTTGGGCTGAAGCCCCGGATGTTTTATGAAAAGCCCCGGATCTCAAACGTGGAAGTAACATGCAGTACCAAAGTCCAACAGAGAGGGCGCAGCTGGCAGTAGTTTGTATACAGCCTGCCTGAGCCTCCACCACTGAAGAAGAAGCCCTTCAGCAGCCGGCTTCTTCTACACTCTCTGCCTGAAACGCATGAGTGAAGATGGACATAAGGACGTTTTTTAGACCAAAAGTACGGCGACAGAACCCCAGCTTTGATGAGACTGGTGCTGACTCAGGTTTGTGAGTCTTATTAGAAAATATTTGTTGTGCTGCTGGTTTGCCTAAAGTTAGCTTACTATCAGGTAAAGTTGTTGGAGAAAGAAAGGGAATATTTACTATCATCTCACACTAAACACTAACAGGAACAATACTCTGCCCTGAAAATGCTGAATATGTAGCTTCAGATTAAAAATTATGTGGTACAAGACAAATATATATGATGTTGACTAGTGCGTGTCACATGTGTGTGCGCGCGCGTGTGTGTGCGCGCGTGTGTGTGTGTGTGTGCGCGCGCGTGTGTGTTAAGCCCCGGATCTTCTTCAGTCCTAAATCCGCCCCTGAGCAGGAACATCTCGCTTTCATCCGACAGCCGAGGAAACGTCTTCCAGAGCAAGTTTTCAGAGCGCTGAGCTCCTAAAACGGAGCTGGGCCGAGCTGAACGCCAACCAGCTGATTGTGGTTGTATGGTAGTGACCATTGTGGTTGTATGGTAGTGACAGTGGTCCTACACGCCTCAGTCTGGTGAAAGTTTGGACTTCGGAGGACCTGACTGACTCCCCTAGGCAACAACTTTCATCCCAGGAAGCCGTCGCAACCCAACATGAAGGTTTCTTTTCTGAATGGAGAAACTCAAGGCTGTTTGTGTTTTCATGTCTGAGGGATTTCCCAGGTGTCTTGGTACCTGTGTTTAGAGCGGGCGGTCCTCCAGGTGTAACGCTGTACACCTGGAGGAACTCTCTGGGACGACTTCCTCCAACGATGTTGAAGCCAAACCCTCGAGGACCCTTGGAGAGCCGGGTGTGGATGGAGTAACCCTTCAGCTGACCCGGCTGCTCCGTGAACTCTGGAACTGTGCGAAGGAAGTAAAAGTGTGTGTCCACGGTTACAAACTCGAGTCATCTGCAGCAGCATGAGACACGGCTCCTATACAGGCTAAAGTTTTCTGCTAATGGAAAACAATGAAAACAGCTTTTTCAAGCTACTTCATTTAGTCGATTCTTATGTTTTACAAAATAAACTTTTTGTTGCACACAGATCAGAACCTGATATAAAAGCTTCTGGTGGGAACTGAACACGTTAATTAGAGAAAAATGATCCGTTAATGAAAATTCACGCATTAAATTCAGCCTGCCTTCTCTTTTCAAGGCGGAACTTTTGTCAGAGCACAATTTCCTGGTACACCGATTACACTGACGCACACAAGACCCTGCTCTGCTAACAGCTACTAAAATGAAAGAATTAGAAGAACGTGCCTTGCTTGGACCGACGCCATGTTTGACAAAACTTGTAAACTTGTAAAAATAAAATAAACTACTTCCTGAAAACCATCGAGTCCGTGACACGGAGTCTTTTCAGAGATGTCTCTGAACTCTGCTGCTGTGCTTTTTGATTGGTCTGCACACCTGGGGGCTTCAGGTAAGCTAAAGTCGTAATATAGTCCTCCCATCAGAAGTTTATTAACGTAGTCAGACTAAATGCTTCAGCTCCTGCTCTCACAACTCCATAATCATTCAGTCACAACCATGTCTCTTAAAGGAACAGTAGCACTCTGAAATCAGTGTCAGAGGGGTGTGACTGTTTAAACTTCATGGGAGAAAATGGTTTACGTTTTGCTGGAAATCACATTGATTTATGTTTTGTAAATTATTTCCACAGATTGTGACAATAAACATATGTGTAGTATAGAAATATCAGAGGTCACTACACCGTAAATAGATGAGGTCATTGTCCTACGTGGCTCTAAAACGCCCTGTGTGATAAACTCCCACGTCTGCAGTAGCATCAAAATGTACTTAAAATAGGACTGTACCTTTACATCTGTCTTTTCTTTGATATATATATATATATATATATATATATATATATATATATATATATATATATATATATATATATAGATAGATAGATAGATAGATAGATAGATAGATAGATAGATAGACAGACAGACAGACAGACAGACAGACAGACAAACAGACAGACAGACAGACAGACAGACAGACAGACAGACAGACAGACAGACAGACAGACAGACAGACAGACAGACAGACAGATAGATAGATAGATAGATAGATAGATAGATAGATAGATAGATATGTATGTATATATCCTGTTTTGAATTGAGAAAAAATTTAAAAGCATTTCTCAGAAATTGAAAGAACTCGAGTTCCCAGTTGTAATGTCTATTGATTGATTCTGTTCCTCACTAAAATTATTTGTAATAAAAAAATTGCTTTGGGGACAAATTTTCTTCAATGATTAAAATGTGATTAATCAAGGTGAATTAATTACAAAACCTCTGATTAATTAGATTTTTTTAAATCGATCCCACCCCTAATATTTGTGACTAGGGGTGATTCTATGTCTGTGATAAGTGCTATATAAATACAATTTACTTACTTACTACTAAAAATCTAAACCTGGCAGGATGTGCTGCCCTCTGCTGGCTGGTGTGACTCTGGATACAATTTTAAATAAATTAAATGGTGACCAATTAAGCAAGTCTGCCTTTTGCCTCCTTTTGAGCTGCAATGTGTGTAGAAAGGCACAAAATTACTATAACTAAAAACTATAACCCAACATTTTCTTGTTCTTCAGTGTTTGGATTTAGCAGTTATCTGCCTGAAATGAAACACTCGTTTCTGACATCAACATTAGAGAGATTAGCATAGAACCCCGCCCCCATCAGTAGACAATCAGCTATGTCTTTAAACAAAACAACAAAAGGAAAAGCAAACTCACGTTCAGCAAATGAGTAGGTCTCCTTCATCTGAGAGTGAGGGTCTAACCAGCTGGTCGTCTTTGACTTGTGACTGATGAAGACAAATACTGATGTCGTCATCATCATCATCATCATCAACATCATAACATCATCATCACCAAAATATTTATCATCATCTTCTCCATCATCATCATTATCATAATCACCATCATCATCATCTACATCATAACCACAAATCAAATCGCAAATCACAACAAGTGTCGACTCAAGGACTTTCACACAGTACACATTTCAACACAGTTCAGGTCATTAAGCCAATCAGTAAAAGTGTTCCTTTATAAGGAACCCAGCAGGTCATCACCATCCTCATCATCATAATCATCATCTTTGTCACCACCATCCTCATCATCATAATCATCATCTTTGTCACCACCATCCTCATCATCATAATCATCATCTTTGTCACCACCATCATCATCATCATAATCATCCTCTTTCATCATCACCACCATCATCATCATCATAATCATCCTCTTTCATCATCACCACCATCATCATCATCATAATCATCCTCTTTCATCATCACCACCATCATCATCATCATAATCATCCTCTTTCATCATCACCACCATCATCATAACAATCACAATCATCAACATTATCTTCATCACCATCATCATCTTTGTCACCACCATCATCATCATCATAATCATCCTCTTTCATCATCACCACCATCATCATCATCATAATCATCCTCTTTCATCATCACCACCATCATCATCATCATAATCATCCTCTTTCATCATCACCACCATCATCATCATCATAATCATCCTCTTTCATCATCACCACCATCATCATAACAATCACAATCATCAACATTATCTTCATCACCATCATCATCATCATCATAATCATCCTCTTTCATCATCACCACCATCATCATCATCATAATCATCCTCTTTCATCATCACCACCATCATCATAACAATCACAATCATCAACATTATCTTCATCACCATCATCATCTTTATCACCACCATCATCATCATCACATCATCTTTTCCATCATCATCACCAACATTATCTTCATCATCGTCACCTTGAACCGTCACCTTATCGTGGTGGAGGAGTTTGAGTGCCCTAATGATCCTAGGAGCTATGTTGTCTGGGGCACTTAGTGCCCCTGGTAGGGTCTCCCATGACAAATTGGTCTTAGGTGAAGGGTGAGACAAAGAACGGTTCGAAGGATCTTTCATGGCGGTTAAAACGAAGAGTCGGAGTACCCGGCCCGGAGGGTTACCGGGGTCCCACCCTGGAGCCAGGCCTGGGGTTGGGGCCCGTGAGCGAGCGCCTGGTGGCCGGGCTTTCGCCCATGGGGCCCGGCCGGGCCCAGCCCGAACCGGATACATGGGCTCGTCCAACTGTGGACCCACCACCCGCAGGAGGAACATGAAGGGTCCGGTGCAATGTGAATCGGGTGGCAGACCAAGGCGGGAGCCTTGGCGGTCCAATCCCCGGACAAGAAAACTAGTTTTTGGGACATGGAACGTCACCTCGCTGGCGGGGAAGGAGCCGGAGCTTGTGGCAGAGGTTGAGCGGTACCGGCTAGATATAGTCGGACTCACCTCGACACATAGCATTGGCTCTGGAACCCGAGACCTGGAGAGGGGTTGGACACTCTACTTTGCTGGAGTTGCTCCGGGTGAGAGGCGGAGGGCTGGGGTTGGCTTTTTGTTAGCCCCGAGACTCTCTGCCTGTGTGTTGGGGTTTACCCCGGGGGACAAGAGGGTAGCTTCCTTGCGCCTTCGGGTCGGGGAACGGGTCCTGACTGTTGTTTGTGCTTATGGGCCAAATATCAGTTCAGAGTACCCACCCTTTTTGGAGTCCCTGGGACGAGTGCTAGATAGTGCTCCATCAGGGGACTCCATTGTCCTGCTGGGGGACTTCAATGCTCACGTGGGCAATGACAGCTTGACCTGGAGGGGTGTGATTGGGAGGAACGGCCCACCTGATCAGAACTCGAGCGGTGTTTTGTTATTGGACTTCTGTGCAAGCCGCAGTTTGGCCATAACGAACACCATGTTCGAACATAAGGATGCCCACCGGTACACTTGGTACCAGGGCAGCCTAGGTCACAGGTCGATGATAGATTTTGTAGTCGTATCATCTGACCTGCGGCCGTATGTTTTGGACACCCGAGTGAAGAGAGGGGCGGAGCTGTCAACTGATCACCACCTGGTGGTGAGTTGGATCAGATGGCAAGGGAACATGCCGCGTAGACCTGGCAGACCCAAACGCATAGTGAGGGTCTGCTGGGAACGCCTGGCAGAAGAACCTGTCAAGACGGTCTTCAACTCCCACCTCCGGCAGAGCTTTGACCACGTCCCGAGAGCAGTGGGGGACATTGAGTCCGAGTGGGCCTTGTTCCACTCTGCGATTGTCGAGGCGGCTGTTGCTAGCTGTGGTCGTAAGGTGGCCGGTGCCAGTCGTGGTGGCAACCCCCGTACCCGCTGGTGGACACCAGAGGTTCGGGGAGCCGTCAGGCTGAAGAAGGAGGCCTACAGGGCGTGGCTGGTCTGTGGGTCTCCGGAGGCAGCAGACAGGTACCGGATAGCCAAGCGGGGTGCAGCAGTGGCAGTTGCCGAGGCAAAATCTCGGGCGTGGGAGGAGTTTGGTGAGGCCATGGAGAAAGACTATCGATCGGCTCCAAAGAGGTTCTGGCAAACTGTCCGGCGCCTCAGGAGAGGAAGGCAGCAACTCGCTCACACTGTTTACAGTGGGGATGGGGAGCTGCTGACGTCAACTGAGGCTATAGTCGGACGGTGGAAGGAATACTTTGAGGAGCTCCTCAATCCCACCAATGCGCATTCCGAGGAGGAACCAGAGCTGGGAGGCCTGGGGATGGACTGTCCGATCTCGGGGGCAGAAGTTGCTGAGGTAGTCAAACAACTACACAGTGGCGGAGCCCCGGGGGCGGATGAGGTTCGTCCTGGGTATCTCAAGGCTATGGATGTTGTAGGGCTGTCATGGTTGACACGTCTCTACAACATTGCGTGGTCATCGGGGGCAGTTCCTAGGGAGTGGCAGACCGGGGTGGTGGTCCCCATCTTTAAGAAGGGTGACCTGAGGGTGTGTTCCAACTATAGGGGGATCACACTCCTCAGCCTCCCTGGAAAGGTCTACTCCAAGGTACTGGAGAGGAGGGTCCGATCGATAGTTGAATCTCAGATAGAGGAGGAGCAATGTGGTTTTCGTCCTGGCCGTGGAACTGTGGACCCGCTCTATACCCTTGCAAGGGTGATGGAGGGGGCATGGGAGTTTGCCCAACCAATCCACATGTGCTTTGTGGATTTGGAGAAGGCTTATGACCGTGTCCCCAGGGGCACCCTGTGGGGGACGCTCCAGGAGTATGGGGTGGGTGGCTTTCTGTTAAGGGCCATTCAGTCCCTTTACCAGAGGAGCGTGAGTTTGGTCCGCATAGCCGGTAGTAAGTCGGACCTGTTCCCAGTGAGGGTTGGACTCCGCCAGGGCTGCCCTTTGTCACCGGTTCTGTTCATCACTTTTATGGACAGAATTTCTAGACGCAGCCGTGGTGTGGAGTGTGTCGAGTTTGGTGGCAGGAGAATCTCGTCTCTGCTTTTTGCGGATGATGTGGTCCTCCTAGCTTCATCCAGCTCTGACCTTCAGCTCTTGCTGGGTAGGTTCGCGGCCGAATGTGAAGCGGCTGGGATGAGGATCAGCACCTCCAAATCTGAGACCATGGTTCTCGACCGGAAAAGGGTGGCTTGCCACCTCCGGGTCGGGGGAGAGGTCCTACCTCAAGTGGAGGAGTTTAAGTATCTCGGGGTCTTGTTCACGAGTGAGGGTAGGAGGGATCGGGAGATCGACAGGCGGATTGGTTCGGCGTCTGCAGTGATGCGGACGCTGAGCCGATCTGTCGTGGGGAAGAGGGAGCTGAGCCAGAAAGCCAGGCTCTCGATTTACCGGTCGATCTACGTCCCAATCCTCACCTATGGTCATGAGCTTTGGGTAATGACCGAAAGAACGAGATCGCGGATACAAGCGGCCGAAATGAGTTTCCTCCGTAGGGTGGCCGGGCTCAGCCTTAGAGATAGGGTGAGGAGCTCGGACATTCGGGAGGGACTCGGAGTAGAACCGCTGCTCCTCCGGATCGAAAGGAGCCAGTTGAGGTGGTTTGGGCATCTGGTCAGGATGCCTCCTGGACGCCTCCCCGGGGAGGTGTTTCGGGCATGTCCTGCCGGCAGAAGGCCCCCGGGTCGACCCAGGACACGTTGGAGAGGTTACATCTCCAATCTGGTCCGGGAACGCCTTGGGGTCCTGCCGGAGGAGCTGGTGGACAAGGCCGGGGAGAGGACGGCCTGGAGCTCCCTAGTTGGGATGCTGCCCCCGCGACCCGGACCCGGATAAGCGGAGGAAGACGAGACGAGACGATCATCGTCATCATCTACATCACCATCCTCATCAATAACATTATCTTCATCACCATCATCATCCCCCCCATCATCATCTTCATCACCACCACCATCATCATCACATCACAATCATCATCATCACTAACATTATCTTCATCACCATCATCATCCCCCCCATCATCATCTTCATCACCACCACCATCATCATCACATCACAATCATCATCATCACCAACATTATCTTCATCACCATCATCATCACCAACATTATCTTCATCACCATCATCATCCCCCCATCATCATCTTTATCACCACCACCATCATCATCACATCACAATCATCATCATCACTAACAATATCTTCATCACCATCATCATCACCAACATTATCTTCATCACCATCATCATCACCAAATTATCTTCATCACCATCATCATCCCCCCCATCATCATCTTTATCACCACCACCATCATCATCACATCACAATCATCATCATCACCACCATCATCATAACAATCACAATCATCAACATTATCTTCATCACCAACATTATCTTCATCACCATCCGCATCATCAAAATCATCATCTTTGTCACCACCATCATCATCATCATAATGAATCCTCTTTCATCATCACCACCATCATCATAACAATCAC